TTTCATTGGTGCCATCGGGGACTAAACTGGGTTGTTTTTGTACTGTGAAATTTACGAAGAGAGCTAAGTCTCCGAGCTACACAACTACTACAAACTATTATATACACACATAAAAATAAAGTAACAACCTATAAACGGCTCACTGCGGAGCACAACCCTTGTCTCACCTATTGTAGCGTAATGAGTTTATAAAATGTGCTACGCTTTTAAGGCGTCATATCAGGTCGTAACTCAATATAGGTCATCCTAAACCAGTGAAGATAGATTCACCTAGTTTATATTTATTGAATCATTTTTTTTTAATTAATGGACGGCTTCATGGTTTGAATGCCGCACGGAATATATTTTATGTATGACCTACAAAAAATTATTCCGGGCCTTAGATACGTAAACTGCCTCCAAGATTTAAAAGATAATCCTAGGTATATAATAAAGATAGTATATAATAAAGATAACTGCAGTCAACATAAAACAAAATATCTAAAAATTTAGATTTGAATGTTGATACTGATTCTATCACTCTCTAACCACAACACAGCAGTGCACGCAGCACGCACTTACTATGGCTTATTGGTAGAAATAGTTTATTTCTAGAGTGACTGACTTCAAGTCAGAGTAAAAGTTTTCTAAGCTTATTGCCTTTAACAATTTGGATAAAATTCTGTATTTAATTAACACTTCACTTTCATGGTTTGTCATGTAGGAAGAATGAATGAGGAAAGAGTGATAAAGTAAATTTATATGGCAGATGTGAACAGCAGATTCGGGAAGGGACGCCGGAGAAGAAAGTTTATCGACCAAATTGGCAATATTTTGAAAATGGGCCACATTAGAAGTGCCCTTAATCGACGAGCGTGTATGCGTAGATATATGGATGTAAAGGAGGCAAGAGAGGTATGTCAGGATCGTGTCAAATGGAAGTCCGTAGTCTCTGCCTACCCCTCTGGGTGACAGGCGTGAGTGTTCATGTTTATTTCATTTTCAAGGTTTATAGAGATAGGTGTCGTCGACCTACGCAAAACTATAAATAGGTTATTTCTAGAGAGACTGACTTCATGGTAGAGTGGAAGTTTTCTAAGCTAATATTGCCTTTAACAATTTGGGTCGTCGACCCACAGAATATTATAATTTTTCCTAACGCCGAGTAAATTCCTCGGTCGGTTCATTAAAATCGGTAGAAGATTTGTTTTCGTAGTGACAATTAATTTTCCGTTCTGAAAATCTGAATGTTTCACTGCATTTATTTTATTCTTTAAAATCTTACATAATACTACTCAATATCTTTTTACCAGATTATGTCTTTTTAATATTACATTTTATTGGATGAAATTGCTATATTTCGGATTCTTTAACTTGTTACGGTCTCTAAGGAATCTACTTATCTTTTAGTTTATACTTAATTAAATCAACTGCTGACTGACTCGAGCGTGGTGGTGCCCGAAGGAGATTAATTAATATTTTCGGCTTTTCTACCTGTAAATACATTAACTTTAAAAGTAAATACAGTATCATAAGCATTATTAAATATCAATGAAGTATTATTAGTATTGTAAAGAAAGTAGGGACGTTACCGTATGGTGACGCTATGAAAATATCCACTACGCCATATTATCCCGTGAATGTCGTAAGAGGCGACAGAGGGAAACACATCAGGAGATGGGCAGCAGCATCTTTCTAATAATGAATAAAAATAAAAACGAAACTGCGGTTGACAAACTGCTTACAAAGCACGATAACTTATTTGACTTTGATTACTTTGATTTAACTTATAAAATAAAGATGATAAACGAACACACAGTCCACCTGATGGTAAGTGGATGCTGGGCTGCCCAAATCTACCAATAAAATCTATATTTATCATTTCTGAAGACTAAGATGGAATGCCTCATTTCCAGTAAAAAGGGTCTACGGTTGTCTACACTCACCACACACATCATTTTTATTTATATTTATGTGATATTGACATTATGTTAAATAATGACGATTGGTAAAAGGTAATAAAAATCGATAAAAATAATTAATTCTGTATCGGCTCATTTTCATTTTAATATAAATTAATCTTGCTTAAAATAATTGTGCTTAAATAATAGACAATAAGTTAGAATTTGTAGCCATGATTTTGAGTGGAATAAAGAATTTCCTATTCATCTATGGGAAGTCCGCCAATACGATTCAGAGCAACGCCGCGGAATTTCGCGGAACAGTGTCCAGCACTGCAGTAAACAAAACCAGAAAAATATATGATATTTTGCTTCATACATGCTAGTTAACTGTTGTCTTGAAAACATGATTCTAATAATGTGATACGATAGAAAAAATTACAAAGATACCTCTAAAAATTTCTTTTAACGAGTAAAAACCGTACTATTTATAGGTATATGCAATGATTCTAATTTTTTGTCAGATTATTGTACAAGCAACATATTAACTTATTGTTGTTTTTTTTTTACTCCAATTATTTGTTTTTATTTTAAATCGCATATTCTTATTTCTGAAATAATACGTGGGGATGTGTGCGTAAACGATTGTGTACAGTACAGACACTGTAATAGATTACTGACTATGTACTAGGACACTGTGGCCCGAGGCCTCGTGGTATGTAGATGTGTCGCTCTTTTTGCTGCAGTATTTACGTAAAGATCGTTTAACGTATTCGTATAATTTTATTTTTAAATCCATTGTTTCATAAATATTTTTCTTTCCATAAATATTCTTCTTTCGTATATATGTCGATCATTTGTAAATATGGGACATAAAGTGAAACCCGTCACGAAGAGAAAAACGTTCATATAAATCAAACGCCCAACATTGAACGATATTAAAAAGTTTTAATTATTACTATAACATTTAGTTATTACTAAGTAATAAATATTTATTTTTACAACAATAAACCTATGAATTTTAGCAACCTAGTTTATTACAGTTGTGTATTTGGTAGCGCGGGATGGATTCGATTCCAGGAATATGAACTCAAATTTTCTTTTTTGTCTTTTATATATTATGTATCATATATTTAGATAAATTTATTAATTGCTTTATAAGTAAAAAAATAATGTATTTTAAAAATCAAAATTTCTTTTTTTCTTTTTTATATTTTTAATATTAGTTAGTAGTTTAGTATATTTAGTACAATTAATTAAACACTTTTATAAATAAATTAAAAAAGTTAGAAATGTAATAATTTTATCGGAGAAATAAAGTAGAAAATATCAACACGAAAGTTATTTCCAATTCGTAAGCACCTACAACTTTTTTAAACTATAACGCCTTTAGTACATCTACGCATTCGGTAGCGGGTTTGCGGTAGCGAAACAACGAAAAAACTGTAAGTAGTGTGGCAGGTTTTCGCATATGATATGTCTCACTCTAGCACATAGATAGATGAAATAGTTGCGTCCTTGTCAGTATTGTTTCGCAAGGACCTGCGAAATGGCCGTTACACAGACGCATACGTTTCGCTAGTGATGTTTCGCATCGCAAAGCGTCAGCTCGCGTTCTGTCGGTGAGGACAGATTTTCGCGCCATGGATGCCGAAAATACTGAATTATTTTTGCATTCTATTCGAGATTATCCCGTATTATATGCAATTGGACACGCAGATTATAAAAATACTGTTACGCGCTCCAATGCCTCAAATCGGCGCACTAGCGCCATCTAGTCTCGAACCGAAGAACTAAACTTCTTGAAGTTTAAAACTCGAACTCTCGGTACCTTGCGCGTGTTTACTTGAACATTCTGGATATTTTGCTAATTTATATAAGTAGGCGCTGCAAGATGCGATCGAGGCAGAGTTGAACTCGGCGACACAAGCGAAGCTTCGGAGCGGAATTAAGTGAATTAGTGTGTTTAATTACTAGTGTTTTTAGTTTTAATTTGTGTAAAGTAAAATAAAGTGTTAATTTAGGTAATTTTATCGGCAATTTTTATTGTCACGAACCTCAAGCTCGTAACAATACGATCAAAAAAGAGGTAGCATGGAGAAAACTTCAAGAAAATACTCGGATAGATGGTAAGACATTTATTGTTTATATTTCATACAGGCATACATTTTATGTTTTTAATTTTCTTTGAAATAATTTACAAATTGTGATCGAACATTAAACGCTGCTAAGTCTGCCCTATGTCTATTGTCATGCATTGGTACGAATGCTCTTAAAATGTCCGAAAATTGTTTATTTTCGTATATGTGTGCACCTTCTTGAATTCGCAATAAGTTATGAAAGCATATTGCAGCCCTAACAATTTTAATAGTATTATTTAAATCAGTTTCCATGGACCTCAAAAATATTGTAAATTTTGTGCTAAAATGCCAAACGCACATTCTACTACTACTCGTGCCCTACTTAATGATTTATTAAATCTTTTTTTATCATTGTTATTCATTGCTGCGTCTCTAATGAAAGGTCTCATTAGAAAGGTTTCTAATTTAAATCCTCCATCTGCAATGAATACATGTGTTGTAGTCTGTTGGAAACCTGGCAAAGGTTTTGGAGCTGGCAAATTCAGATCCCATCCACTTTTTAAAAGCTGATAAAATGATGAGTTCTCAAATATTGTACTATCGGAATCTTTACCATATGATCCTACATCTATGTAAGTAAATTTGTAATGTGGATGAACTATTGCCAATAACACAGTAGAAAATCGTTTTTTATAGCAATAGAACAGTGAGCCGCTGTTAGGTAGACATTTAATAACAATATACTTGCCGTCAATACTCCCGAGGCAATTAGGAAAACCCCATATTGTTTGAAATGCTTCAGCTATTTCCAACCATGTTTTAGTAGAAGGAACCGGGATGTATTCTGGCTGTAGTATCTTCCAAATTTGTTCGCATACTTGAGTTACTATCTTTGAAACGGTGCATTAACCCAAACGATAAGAGAAAGATATTATTGTGTATGTGTCACCAGTTGCTAAAAACCTGAAATATTGTTATAGTTAAAACTATGAAAAATAAATGGAGAAACCTAAGGGACACTTATAAAAAATATAAACAGAGTCAGCAAACAAGCAGTGGACAAGCCACGAAGAAACTTGCTAATTGGCAATGGGCTGAACAGATGTCATTCGTAGATTCATCCACAAACTTGAGACAAACTGAAAGTACACTGGATACCAGTACTATATCTATAAAGAATGATTATGAAAATTCTACAGAAGCCGAACAGGTTTCAAATAATGAACAAAACGAGGTCGTCGTTCAAGAACTGGAGACAGCACGGTCTACAGCTGAAACTACAGCTGAAACTGCAACTGAAGTATCCCGGAGAAGACGACGCCGTGTAAGCAACGACGATCCTACTGAGAAGATTATAAATTATTTAAAGACTCGAAAATCGGGTATTACGGACAGAAACTCTACAGAAAATCTTGTCAAAATACCGTGTGATCGAATGGACATGGAATTTTTAGGTTATGCCCATACTGTAAAGAAATTTTCTCTACGAAAGCAAGCTATTATTAAACTTCAAATAACACAAATTATAGCTGAGGCTCAACTTGAAGATATGAATAATATCCGGCAAAATTCTAATTTCAGCAATTCTTCATCCTCTATTACTCCCAATTTTTACTACGTCGATAACGACTGGAACATTTCAAGATCGACACCATCTGAAGAACTGCAAACACATTCCATCCCAGACACTCAAAACGTTTCAACTGCACAGATGTGTGTGTGCACGAAGCATGTACTGGAAGAAGCTTATAGTACACAGGCTACAATATATTTATAATAATTTGTAAAAAAACGTTGTGAATTGAATCATACACATAGGAGCACATTATATACGTACTTTATATATATATATATATATATATATATATATATATATATATATATATATATATATATATATATATATATATATATATCTGAAACTAAACGTGGAACTATGTGAAATATAAAAAAAACTCTTATGTAAATCATAATAAGTATAAACTCCGCCACTTCGACATTTTTAATAGGGGTCATAAATAAAAATGTTTTTTTGAGTTTCATCGAATCACTTTTATTTTAAAATCCCCACATGCTTAAATTAATTACCTGAAAAGTAACACTCAAATAAAAAAAAATAATTTCATAGGCCCATCTATTCGTTTATTAGATCCTATATTATCTTACTTGCGTTCTATCTATTTAAGGCTTTTACATTGCTCCAATCGTGAAAAACGCCCAGGTTTACAATAAGTTATAGCCGAATCCTTTTGTTTATTTGCTACAAAAAATTTAGGTCTTATAGTTTAGATCGTCACAATTTATTTGTATTATTTAAAATTTTTGAATATTTGACCATTATTACAAAAAAAAATCAAAGGCAAAGGCTGTTTTAAACATATTTTGTATTTTTCCTCAAGAACGGCTCAATAGTTTAAGATTAAATTTATATTAAAATATTTGTTAAATCATAATAAAAAATGTATTGTTTTTATTGTAGTTTTGTTAAATATATTTCTTAAAATATAGTAAAATATTCCGCCACCCGAAGCTCCCCCGCTATGGCCCATTACGGATATTCACCAGTGTCAGTTCGACTCTTGCGACGGATGGACTGTGCACGCGTTATTTTCTGACAAAAATATTAAAAAGTTCGCAATATTTCAAATTTATACAAACAGACTTGTTGTAAATAAAACGTACATTAGGAATGAAATTGATTTATGTAAATAAAATTGTTTTTAGTTTTAGTTTTGTATATAATTGTATCATAGAATAGACTAAGCTTGACAATGCCGAAATACAAAAGCAAGTCAAAAGTGAAGTGGGCCAAGCTCTTATAAACTATTGGCTATTGGTAAGTAAATTATCCTTAATTATTTTCTTTTGCGTAAATACTTATACAGAGTATGGCAGCGTTCCGAAAACTGTCGTGTTCCCTTCTATTGTATAGGTGGGTAACTTTTTTAGCCGCAAATAAGCTGGTACTACAAAAACGTCTAGTGGAAAAAATAAAAAATAATATGAACGTAACCATTTTTGGCTGGTCTGATGCTACAGTCCTTCACTCCAAAGGTGGGTACAGGATCTCAGTGACGGAACCACGTAGAACCATCGTGTTTGTACTCATTTTAAAGGGCTCCCAGCTACCTAGCTATTTGTGATGATTTCACTTACCTGATGCTGCACTCCGAAGTAGTCCGAAGGTGGGTACAGGATCTCAGTGGCGGAACCACGTAGTACCATCGTGTTTGTATTCATTTTAAAGGGCTCGCAGCTACCTAGCTGTCTGTGATGATTTCATTTACCTGATGCTGCACTCCGAAGTAGTCCGAAGGTGGGTACAGGATCTTAGTGACGGAACCACGTAGAACCATCGTGTTTGTACTCATTTTAAAGGGCTCGCAGTTACCTGGCTGTCTGTGATGATTTCACTTACCTTTTGTGAAAATGCTCTTATTGTACTCTTTTGTTGAGAGTGACTGTTGCGATAATATTTATAATGTAACTTTATGTTTTTAGGCAATTGAGAAATCAGCGGAAATTTCATTTTGAAAATCTGGGCAAAAATCCGTCAACTGAATCTAATGCATTACATTCGTCTACGACTATTGTAGAAACTCACGTTCTGTCCGGTATGGCAGTTGATGAGGAGACTTAGTCACCAGATATTACAGTAGCTAATTTCTACAATTAAGAGTGCCAGTCTATTTTTAATATTGTTAAATTGAACTTTGACTCCTGGTTCCCCATTGCGCATTAATAACTATTCGTTTTTGGTAAATAAAAACATATTGAGGAAACCGACAAGTCTGAGAACCCATAAAATTTGAGAAATGCTTCCTACATGGCCAATAAAAATAAGCAAGATAATATTATACACGGAAGTTTTTTTGTATATGAATTTAGCAATGTATTACATGATAATTATTTTGTTCTCAGCATCAACAAGATGATATTTTACCGGATGTAACTATTGAAAAGAATCAACCAGAAACAGAAAAAAAGAAATATATGTAGCAAGCGAATTGTTGATATAAAATACTTTTTTCAAAATTGCTAGAAATCAACAATCATAGCCCATATAACTGTGGAGTACAAAGTTTAAAAATTGTTGGAGAGAAACGAGTTGGATTGTCATCCAAGTTTACTCTAGAATGTTTAATGTCTAAAGGAAAGTTTTTATTAAATAACATCCGAGGTGATCTGGAAAAAATACAGAATCAGTCGCCGGTACATCGATGTGTAAAAAAAGTGTATTTTAAATGTCTCCGGTGATCTGGACATACATACAGCTGTGGTTGCCCGTGCAGTTTCTGTTGGTATAGGCTACTCAAAATTAGATTAATTACTATCAGCGATCGATTTACCTTTGATCACTAAGTTTCTGTACCAAAAATAGCACAAGTTTGTTTCTAACGCCATGCAAGAAGCCGCAGAATAAGAAAAAAGGATTGCTTTAGAAAAAAGTCGTGTAACCACTGATGTCATTCCTATTATAGATGTTATTGATGATGGATGCCGGAGTAAGAGGTCTTATAAAAAGAATTAGGTGGTTTATCAGGTAATTTAGAGATAAATATAAATCACAACTGGTTCTACCAGGTACAAGGGCAGTTGCACGTGAATCGCAAAGCAAAATGTGTATTTATTCGCTGTATGGTTCAGTGAGTCGCAACCACTGAAAACGGAAGTTATTTATAGGGATGATGATTTTTTTGAAAACAAAATGAAGTCAAAATTATGCAATTTTTATTTAAATTGTGTATTACCTGAAATTTTAAACCCAAGACATACTAGAAATATGGAAATACGTAATGCAATCTGCATAATTGAATTAATAAAAAAAGAGAGAAAAAAACTTCAAATCTCCAAGAGGAAAATACAACGCATAATTTCAATTGCTGAGCAGGAAGAAAATACAACGCTTTCCTTATATCAAGAATCGACACGGTCGTCAACACCAGTAATTCCAGAAGCGGAAAAACCAACCTGTTCACGATGCTTAGATTATAATGAATTTTAACTTGCAAAAAATATTCAACGGTTGATTTAATTTTGATAGATTTATGGTGTGCCTAACATGTTATCATAAAATAATTAAAAAAGTACGCAAAGTTTGTTTCCTTTTTTACTTAATTTAACACTTAGATATATGAGCCAGATCATAATTAGACCTTCAGAATATTTATCGTAGCAACATCCGTGATAAATATGACAGTAACTGAAAACTAAATCTTTCTCACTATTCCCGTGGCCGAGAACTCCTTAAACTTACCTGTTCATCCACATACCTTCACAAATTATCACGTAGCAGCGTCTGTGCTGAATATGAGAGTTTCTGAAAACTAAATATTCCTAACAATTTCCATTGCTGAGAACCACTAAGGTTCTTACCTGTTCATCCACATACCTTCACAAATTATCACGTAGCAGCGTCTGTGCTGAATATGAGAGTTTCTGAAAACTAAATATTCCTAACAATTTCCATTGCTGAGAACCACTAAGGTTCTTACCTGGTCATTCACATACCTTCACAAAGTGTCACGTAGGAACGCCCGTGCTGAATATGAGAGTTTCTGAAAACTAAATCTTCCTAACCATTTCCATTGCTGAGAACCACTAGGTTGTTACCTGGTCATCGACATACATTCACAAAGTGTCACGTAGGAACGTCAGTGCTGAATATGAGAGTTTCTGTAAACTAAATCTTCCTAACCATTTCCGCGAATATTGAATATTTCAGTGAATATTGATACAAGGTCTAAAGCGAATAATATGTCAATTCACTACTAGGTCTCTCAGAGATCGAATAAAATTATGCAAGTAAGTTGTCATATTATCTATACATCGTTGATCTTTGTCTACTATTTACGTAGTGCCATTGTAGTACGTCTGCTTTTGGTAGATGTCGCTAAATTTAAACAAAGTCTAAATAGTCAAGGTTACTGATCATAGTAGGAGCCTTAAACACTTGGCCCAAACTAGCTAATTAGTTAGTTCAACCTCACTGTCGTTAGATGGCGTTCACATTGATTATGTAAATGTGTGCGTGCATCATTCGAGGTCATATGGCTCTTGTAGTCCCCTTAATGTTCTATTTAACAATATCAGGTATGATACTCACAGTATTTTAAAATCAAAGTGTCTAGAAAAAACTTATTAAAGACTATAAAAATAAATTAATAAACCAGTGAGTTAAATTTTATGAAAACCCACGTTTTTTCTACAGGCGTGATCTCCGGAGCTTACAACCACTCAATACTGTTTATATTGTACGCGGTGTACCAACGCCGATGTGTATTAAGGCTGCGACACGTCGTAATATACCAGAATAAAGCATTTGACACAAAACAAAACGTTTTGTGAATTAGTTAAACATTTAACGACCAGCTCATGAGGTAAATTTAAATTCACCAGCTTATTAGTTACCGCCAGTACGGTTAACGTCGGAGTCGCTCAGCTAGTAATCTTCTAGGTTACCTTACTCATAGATGGGTGAAGTTAGTAGAGTCCAAGGGGGAGGCGTTGGCCGTTAGTGTGGACAAAGCGAAGGCCTGCTATTGGGTTTGGCAGAAAGCGCTTCTTACAAAGCTTTTTTTCTATGGGCTATGGCCCCGACGGAAATCGTACTGGCCATCACTAATCAGCTGATTATCCTCAAGATACCTCATGAGCTCGTAGTAAAAGTAGTTTCTGTTATTTTGGAGACAAGGAGATGATAATGACGAGCATGTTATTGGACGAATCTGAGCGTTCGCCTCTTATAGGAATCGTGAGCACTAAAGATGTTACAAAGATATCGTTTACTAGGTTTCTGATTCGAAATTTATAGTCAATTACCAGTGTATGTCAAGTTTGTTAAGTATGATTTATGAACGGTATTCATTGTCGAGTTTTGAATTTTCGAGTGTGTTTGTTCCAGTTCGTTACGTATGTTATGGTGTTTGTTATGTCACACACTGGAATGTTATAAAGGAGGCTGTTCACATATCTTAACCGACTACGGTGAAATGAAAAACGCTGTCTGTTGTTCTGTGTGTTCTGTGGTACCCACATAAGTGTGGAGTGTTATATTATTCTGATTTATTATTACTAGTGGTCCCTCAGTAGCCTAACTAGGTCCGTTTTTAATTAAGAGGTCGTTGCCTTTCGTCAACTTTTCCACTCGCACAAGGCCATATTATAAAAAAAATTAAATGAAGAAACGTTTTTTTAAATTTTATTAATTGGTGTAATATAAATAAGTTATTATTAAAAACAATATAATTAATTGGCATAATATAAATAAGTTATTATTCAAAACACATTTTTAATGTACCTTTATTATATTTGTATGCTGAGTTTATTATATCAACACAAAAAGTTTTTTTAATCATTACTTATTAAATTAATACTATATTATAGTTCGCCTATTGATTACATTAAAAAAACGCATTTTTAAATTTCAATTTCTTCTTAAATATGGCTCTGTGCGAACGCGAATAGTGTCAAATGGGATAGCCGTTATAATTAAAAAAAAAACATTAAAACAAAATTCTGTGAGAAATGGTAATAATTACGGTACTGTTCTAATTGTAAACTGTAAATACATATTTGTTAAATTCGTTATATTTATTTTATGAATAACCTACTTTGATTAGTACCTACTATTTTTGTAACCATATTATTTTGTTAAAGGCTTTAATTCTACCGTGTTGTGTTATTTTGGTGTTTAGTTTCGCAAACATGCAAGCTATGGATAGTCTATCATATTCTAAGATTCGTTTTTGATTATTTAATCTTAATTTCATGAAAATAAGTAGTTGATAATATTCTAAAATGGATTTTACTTGAACCTATTTCCAAGTAAACATTGAGTACGTTATTGTGTTATCGTGTGTTCTGGAAGATATTCCAGTGCCTTATTTACACTTTTTACGACCTTACCCATATATATATATATATATATATATATACATCACGATATTGATTCTACGTCCTTTCATTTCGCATTATTATAGCGTCCACCACTTGTAAGCAATTTTTGAAAACTATGACAGCGTATATTGGTCCATTAAACAAATTCAAAGATAGTGTTCAACTCATTTTTTTTGAATATTTAGTATATGTCGATATACAAATATACGTATATTGCCAGACGGAGGGAAACCAATCGGGACTCCCCTTCCATATTACCAATTATTCAGAATCCCCGTAATATACATAGTTTTTAATTCATTCTCCTGCTTATTGCAATTCCTTTGTATAGTGCGACGTTGCCACTCTTATTAGTTATTCTGTTTTGTAATATTTTATTTATAGGTGATATTTTGTTTAATGTAGAACTATAAAATTTATTGAATATAACCGCAAAATTTTAATTGACTATATAATTTAATCTTAACACATTATAATGTGAATTATTATGATGTTAGTAATAAGAATAAGATTATTTTATGTTAATATAATTATCAGAAATTTTCATTTTAATAATAAAATAAAAAATATTTTGTATTTAATTATTACTTTTCACACAGGCAGGAAGAATATTGCAGTATTTTTTGTTAAATTGTTAAGACCTATTGTAACCCATATATTGCCAACGAATAAATGAACTTGAATTTAAATTTGAATTTCTCTACACTCACCATACAAAACACAGCAGCGATTTTACTCTGGCATTCTGTGAGAACGTAGTGCTTCCCCGGTCGAGTCGAATCATCTTTACGTCAAATTAAAAATATATTTGATTCGTTTAGCACGAATAATATAGTTTTTATCATTCTGGTTCAGATTAGATTTAATTTTAGTCACTTAAGTTTCGTATATTGTGCAAAATAATGAAATAAATGTACAGAATGTGCAATGTGAAATTGAGAAAATATAATTTTTGTCTACGGCAAAAAAAAATAGACTATGTATCATGATTAATTTACCAACTAGTTATTCGTTGAGTCAATACAAAAAATATCAAAAATTGCCGAGCCGTGATAAATTATAGATTGAATATATTATTATTTACTTTAATTGTAAATACGTACTGATGTAAAATGAAACAAATATTGAGATCAAATAAAACGTTTATTGAACAAGCATCTTCTTTCAAACATTTGTTCAATGAAGTAGATACTTAGAATAAAGATTTATAATAAGGAACATAATTAACACAATTTGGCACTTGAAATAACATAGGTAGTAATTTAGAGCAAAACTTTTGACGCACACAGTGCCCCAAAAACCGCTACAAACGGCAACATTAATTAAAAAAGAAATAAGAAAGGTGTTCTAAGCGTTTTATCATTTCTAGAATTGTGTAATGTGAAAAAACTGTTCTAGAAAAGTGACTATTTTACACCGCATGGCATCCCTACACTGAAATATAAAAACAATAGCGAAAAATGTCATTAAAGCAATGGTCATTAAAGTGTGTTTTATACACAAGGAATTAAAATATAAATATATTCATGGTTATATGGACGTCAAATATCGTGCGGTATGAAACTTTACCGATAATCTGACGTCCACATATAAAAATATAACAAAATTCAAAAGTATGGACGTTAAATATCATTCTGTACGAATGTTTTAGGATATTCGAACGTCCGTATTATTATATGTAGCTAAATCTAAGGACACGTAAAGAAATTTGAAAGTAAAAATAGCACTGAGTACAGTATAAACCGACAAAAAATACCAAAATATACCTTGAGCACTAAATAAATAAGTAATCAACATAAATAAATAGTAAAACGCAATAATCAACAACATTGGACATCAGATATCAAAGAAATGGATGTCAAATAAAACTTTGTGATAATATTTTAGGATATTCTTACGGCCGTATATGGGTAAATACTCAACTATACATTAATCAACTTAAACAAGTTTAACTAAGGAAACTTAAATGCAAGCAAACAAGCGTGGAAAGTTCTTAATGTGCGTAGGTCACAGTACGGACGCCAAATAAAGCACGATATGCATGTTTTTTAGTAATATAGCGTCCAATATGAATAAAAATTATAATTGTATTTCAACTAAATGCAAAACCAAACATATCATAATTTAACAAAAATAGCCTTTCACAAAATAAAATCAAGTTAGTGATAGTAATTTCTTACAGATTAGGTACAATAGTCGCACTCATCCTTAAGATAGTGATCATAAACAGTAAACTCGCAGTGAGAGCACCAAAACTCAACACGATCAAGTAAATAAATTATATTTTCGGAGTTATTCATGTCAGCAAAATTATGCCACGGTCTGTTGTAGGAATTAACAAATCTTTGGCAACTAATCCAGTAAAACCTTTTATTAAAATGAATTTCTTCCCAAGGCCATATTAGGTTATTAGTCAGAATATAACAAAACAAACTTCTATTTAAAAACCTGTCAATATCTACAATTAACTCCATCTTTTTGTACTCAATCAGAAGGTAATTTATACTCAAACAGAATTATGGGTTGCTTACGACATAACAAAAGTTCTTATAGGCAGTTTAGTACTGTACAGTACATAAATGTAAAATGTAAAAATATAGTGCAGTATGACGTAAACCGATAATATAAGTTACTGAGATCCCTTCATCAGCTATGAAAAAAGCTTATGACCTTAAGACCGCACCCAAATCGGTTCACCTCTTTAGGAGCTACGGTGTCACAGACAGGCAGCCACACAGACAAACTTTCACGTAAAACTTACAACAATCCTCTTTTTACGTCTATTATTCATGGATCCAATCAATCATTAAATTCGATAAGGTTGGACTAAGAGAGCGAGATGGAATTTTGACAACCAGCAATGTTTTAAAAACAAAATACGAAACTAAACAAAAATACCACAGTAATTCGTAGGAGAATTCCCGAATATGGCTATTTGTTGTTTGTATAGGCATTTTGGACGAAGACTTTTATTTTTAACCAGTCTTTGTTGTGCAGAATTTCAGTATGTTGACTACGAAGTTCCTCGCACTCATTGCGTTTTGGCGGTTGTTTATTTTTAATATGTTTGCTAAAAAACTTTTTTAACTATACTTTTCTGTTCTGTGGTCCAAGGAACAAGGTTTCGTTTTTTCTTTGTTTTAATATGTGTAGCATTGGTAGCATCGCTAAGTAGAGTTGACTGCGGAGTAAGGACAGGGTTATCGTCTGTGAACTCCGTTTCTTTTGATTTTTCAGTTGGTAATGAAGCATCGTAATCTATTAATTCATCACTGTCGTAATTATCGTGGCCCTGTGCGTTTTCTAGTAAATCTTGTTCTAAATCTAAGTTTATGTCATCCAAACATTTGCCTCTATAAGAGTCTGCTTTGCCACTCTCCATGAGCAGCAGTAGTTTTGATAGTTTGGTCGTCTGATACACGTCATCGGGTAATCTATAGTTTTGTCTGTGGACAGCCTGTGTGTGCCCCATAAAGTTAGCTAGTTGTTCAATGTCTGATTCTTTAAGGTTAAACATCTGAGTCAACGTAGCCAAATGTTTGCGTAGCTTAGTCGTAGTAATAGCTGCAGGATTTCGAGCTCCACTTGCAGTGGCATACTTTTTCAAGACCTTATAACCACATAATATACTTTCAGATCCGGGTTTTGCAAACAAAAAGTAGTTTTTTTCACATATGTAATTACGTCTCACAGAGATAAGCAAATTGATGTCACTTTGGACTTCGTCAGTCAAGAGAACGGGCACACCTCGACCTCTTTTACCCCGTATAACAATACGCTTAAAACTATTTACCAACACTTTTTCCGCACTTGAAATAGCTCGGTCAAATTCCTCATATGCGCTTTTGTCATTGCTGCTCTCTTGGTAGATGCTGAGTGGGAGACGTTGCAGTTCACCAGGCCGACGTCTGTTGAGAAGAAGAACGAGGCAGTAAACTGTCTCTGTTAGAGTATTGTACGTTTCAATATTGCTAGTTTCGGATTCTATTAACTTAGATGCTGCAGACTTAGATTTTTCGCAAAGATAATTTTTAAGGAGTTTTAAGTCTTTCGCAAGAGGAACAATTGTAATTTTATTCCATTTTTTTAAGTTTAAGTCATTGCAGGCCTGGCTTGAAACATCAAACTTCCAATTAGTCTTGATGAGATGAATTAGCGTCTTTAGATCAGCCGCTACTGCAGCAGTTTCCACACTGCTGCCTGATTTTAATGTAGTCATTATGGCTATGTTGCAACACTGTTTTAGGCTAGTGCTGATGTTCATGGCATATGTTGGAGCACCATAGCGATCTGTTTTACAATTGTAACTTGATACTTTTTTAGTTGCAGTAACAATTAGATCATAGTTTTGAGGTTTCAAACAATCCATCAAATTTTTAAGTGACGGTTTCAGCGTCTTCAATTCTAGTAACAATTTAGCCAATTCTCTCATTTTTCGCGATGTAACGTTTACGAAGTGTTTTTCTCGATGAATCCTTAAATATTGGGCTCCAAACGCACAGATTAACGTGTCTCTTTTAGCTTCTAGTGATATTTTGTCAGGTCTCATTTTTGGAAATACCTCATCTTTAAGTTTTTTTGTCAATATTTAGGTTACGTAACATAAAATTTTGAGACTGAACTTGAGTGTTGGCGGTATCGGATAACGGTTGACATGTCTTCTTATGTTTCCACAATTGTTTCCTAGAGTGGAAGCCTAAACATTTTTCACATGGTAAGTAATCGATGTGTGGATAAACATTACTCTTTTTCATAGGTTTAACACATTTTATAACATTCCGAATATAGTTTCCTCTTTTGCGTAAGTTGGTTATTAGGTTTTTGCGTACGCAACTTTTCGTAGGATGAGAGATAATATTTTGTACTTCGGGTTCCGTACAATGATTCCGCAATAGATGTCTCGCAAAATTTAGCACATCGACCTCACAAAAAAAACAATAATCCCTGGCTCTGGATCTTTTCAACTCTTTCGTCTTTTGGCAACTTGTCAAATCCTAAAAGGAGAACATTTCAATTAATTACAGAATAAATTTGCTTTATGAATTATCAACATTTTCACATCTGGTAACGTTCTGTAATTCTTGCCGCACGATAACATACGGTACAGTAACGTGCATTAATTACAGGACGTTACCGGAATGTCTCAAGAAGCACTTAGGCTCTCGTGATTGTATTTTGTTACAATAAGTGTCTAGAGGGATAGGCATTCTAAAATTAAAGGTGAGGCATCCTTTTTAGTCACAAATTAAATAGTTATCTCCCTAAGAATCCTCAAAATTAATATTTATGCCCAACATTTTTTTAACAACATGAACATTGTACAGTTTTAATTGATTTGAATAAAAAAATCAGAAAGTTATCTTCAAGATTTGATGTGAAACAAAAAAAGAAATATTTCTGTCGCGTAGCGAAACTAAAGCTTCATATTCCTGATTTATGTTCATATTGTGAAATAAATATATTCATGAGCATACAATGTTGATTATTGCAGCTTCATGGTTTCAGAATTTAAGTAATAAAGAAATGATCTCACCTGGGGTTCCTCTAAGCTACGACGTCTAAGACACAATTGCTGATTTTGATGTGTCTTATTCAATACTTCTTCCGTTTCTTCAGTATAACTTGTGATACTGGAGGATTTCTCGAATGCAGAAATGTACGTTGGATCTTTGTCAGAGTCGTCAAACTCAGAGCTATTGTCATTAGAAAAATTAGGAATGCCATCATTGGAAGCGCCACCTGACGTAGTAGGTACTGAGTCTTGTATCTGAGTGGTATGGTCTTGTGATAATGATTGGCTTGTTATTGTGTGATTTTTTGTGAGATTACATTCATTAGGATTACTTAATGTTACATGCATTTGGTACGGAGATTGTTCCAATACGTTTGATAAGGACTGGTTAGTTATAGTAAGACACGATTGACCACTTTCACTATGCATTGGGTTCTGAGGTTGTTCCAACACATTTAAATAATCAGAATTTTGGATAACTGAATTATTACTGTTATCAGCCAGAATGTTTGCGTTCACTTCGATAATAACGTTGCTGTCAGCATCTAGCAGAGGAGGACTAGAAGTTGCAACTGAATCTGACAACAAAGTATTCCGCAGTGTCTCGATGTCAGTCATTGGTCTTTGATCTGGCAAGCATGTTTCGTTATAGTTCGAATCCGAGTCATCAGCATCATTAGTTATATCATCCATCAGAGTATCCGTCAAGTCGTTATTGAAATTTGAACTATTTGCAGTATCGTCGTCCGTAGACGGTAGATATGTTTCATCCCTATATTTCTCATTATCAATTATATCAAATGAATCATCAATGCTAGTATTTGGCGGTGCGTATGATGGGAGATTACGTCTGGATCTCTGTAAAATAATATGAATTAGACAATGAGACATCACACACATCGATCTGATGCCGAGATAATGTAGTGTATGTAGGTATATACACGATAGCCTAAGATAGATTCGACAGTAATAAATCTACATTCAAGATCATTATACGCTTCATTTATTCCCCGAACCTCCCATTTATTTATTTATTTATTATATGGACAACAAAACAGATAACAATCAAAATACATTAAAAATTATACATATACATATAACAGTTTTGTGCCAGATTGTTTTTCTAAGTATGTTGACACATCATTTTCATATTTTACTACAGGGAAGATCAAATCTACGCTTAACAATATAAACAATATTAATGCCGTACATTATTACATAACACAAAAAAAATTTACAAGCAACAAATTTAAAATCTATGTGATATGTGAAGGAGTGTGTATGACTTTAAGCTCTTTTTACTGCTCTTTTGAATATCCTTGATCTTGGGTCAAAAATATCCAAGCCGGAGTCTTTCATGGATATCTCGTTGTAAAGTCGACACATTCTTATTATCGGGTTGTAAAAAGAAGTATTATTCTTGTAAGTCTGCAGGTAAAATGTCTTGCTAGGAATTCGGGGATTGCGCTTTGTAATTAAGTTTAATTTACTTAAGAGGTAACCGGAATCGATCTCATTGTGGAGAATTTTATGTAAATATATAAGGTCATATTCCTTACGGCGAATAAGTAAAGAGGTCATTTTAAATTTGTCGAGTCTCTCACTATAACCGACAAGACTGCGACCAAGACCACATTTGTAGCTAAGTATTCTAAGGGTTCTTTTTTGGACGCTTTCTATACTATCCGAATGCACCGTGTAGCAGGGAGACCATTATAACATTAAGTAGCTTAAGCACTTGTGTTACGGAAATCAGAATCAACGAAGCTATTACAAAAAAATACATAATAAATATATTACACCCAGATACAGAACAAACACAATGTTCATCACTAAGTGTTTGTCCTGGGCGGGGATCGAACCCACGACCCCTGGCTCAGAAGGTAAGAGACTACCCTTGGTCCAACGGGCCTGTAAGTATAACATTTATGTACCTTTTAGAAAAGCGTATGACCATAAATAAAAATAGGCTACTTACTAATGACATTCTTCTTAGATTCGCGTAATAAGAAGCATCCCTTTGTTTTCGAGATTCAGTTGGAGTTGTAGCATCTGAAATAATCTATTAGATTAGGTATATAGTTTGTTGCCAAAAGAATAAATAAATATGCTATCGGTAATCTGTATAAACCGAGATTATATACCCAGGCAATGTACAACATACCTAAAAGGTAAACTGAAATATTATTCATTTTGTACTTTGCCTAGGTAGATCGGTACTGGCTTCATTTGACAGATGGATGTGACACAAATCGCCTCACCTCAGGCACATATTGGTTTTTTGCACATGTACATTTTATGTGTATTTACTTTGCAAAATTCATAAATCAAAATGCTAAGCGTGTAACGTTGCGTTATGTTTCAACCTAGAGCAAGATTGCTGCTACTTTTTTTTTACTTTAGAAGTATAGTTGTAGCACGAATGGGTCGGCTCGACCGGGGAAGGACCACGCTCTCACAGAATACCAGCGTGTAATAGTAGCTTAATGCTGCTGTATTTCGTATGGTGAGTGTAGAGAACCGGAGACGGTTTTTACTGAAAACGAGGCATTCCATCTTAGTCCTCACGGGTGACAACGCATCTGCATTTTGATTCGTAATGGAGGATAGATGTGGATGTCTATGGGCCACAGCAACCACTTACCATCAGGTGGACTGTGTGCTCGTTTGCAACCCTATCCTATAAAAAAAAATACTAACAGTACCATTCGTAAATGAATAGTACTGTAGATACAGTAAATCCAACAAAAGTACCAGGAGCCTTTTAAAGAAATGAGGAGCCATGTTATATATTTATTCAACTAACTATAATTTATTCAGCTAATTATTTCAGACTATCATCGTTGAAATAGTTAAGTTGGTTAAGTTACAGCCTATTTACGTCCCACAGCCGGGCCTTCCCTCACTTCTGAGAGGGTTTTAGGGCAAAGAAGTGCCGGCTGAGCTACCCCTATGTGTGTTGGCGAACTTCATGGCGAAAAAAATATGTCCTCGAAATATTTTTTTCTTATTTCTCAGACAGTCCGACTTCTTCACGATGTTTTCTTTCACCGCTCAGCACGTGGTAGATCAGCACTTATAATTGCAATTAACAATTTCATTGATGCCAGCGGGGATGCACCCGGTTTGCGAGCGTACTGTGAAATTACGAACGAAACGACGAGAGCCGTGGTGGCTCTTCTGAGCCACCACGGCTCTCGTCGTTGAAACGAATACACCTTTTTTATTTTGTATGTTTTTTTTTCTCTATAGGATAGGGTGACAAACGAGCACACAGATTGTGAGTAGTTGCTGCGGCCCATAGATATCTTCATCTCACTCATCTCACCCTCGATTACAAATCAAAATACAGATGCGTTGTCACCCGTGAGGACTAAAACGGAATGCCTCATTTCCAGTAAAAACCGTCTCCGGTTCTCTACACTCACCATACGAAACACAGCCAGCATTAAGCTAATATTTCACGCTGGTATTCTGTGAGAGCGTGGTCCTTCCCCGGTCGAGCCGAAGTATTCGTGCTGCAACTATACTACTAATATAACTGCAGCATGGCTCTACCACGTACAAAAAATGTTTTAATGAACTAGGAAAAAAAAATCGGACTTTAATTGTGGCATATTTTTGGAGCTTAAGAAGTGGGTTCTTTAAAATATATATCCATAATATATTTTTTATTTCAGGAAGAGATATTTTTATTTTAAATTTTATTATTTCGTAGATATTATTTGTGTTGAAGGAAATATGTTGATTATTTTGGTAATTGGAAATGTAAAATAACCGCCGCGCACCTTGCGCCGCCTTTGAACGGCTTTGTCACTCGACACTATTATGGTCGAGTATTGTTTACAAAAACCGTTATTTTAGACTGTACATCGGCACCTTTAATGGTTTTATGGCTTTTAAGGGAATGAATGAACCTT